ATCAGCCTTATCTCCTGATTCCGGCTGTGAGATTTCTTCCGATTTCTTCTGTTCCTCACGAAGTCTTATCCGTTCCATCGCAGCCTCTCTCTTCAATTGCTTCTTGCTTGCCTTCGGCTCATTATCAGGTTTAGCGACTTTGGCAGACGGCCATTGATCCCGGCACTTTTGCTCATCTTCCTCAGACCAAGCCCGAGGTAAGATCGCAAAGACCAAATATGAGGTGTGTGTTCGGAGATCCGGCTCTGACCGATGCGTCAAGCGACCCTGAGCATATGCAGGGACATCGGTCTTCTCTTTATAGAACGGTGTCTCTTTCGCAATTGGCTGATAACCTGGCTGGTCTTTGGTCAATCGGTTCTCACGGATGAGCTTGGCACGTTGCTCATCACTGCGAAGCTTCGCGACTGCCTCCTCCACGGTCTTCGGAAACACTGTAGCACCGCGCACACCCTCGGCATCCAGCCCGATACGATCGCGCTTGACATCGAGTCGACGCTGGGCGACTTCCACCATTGAAATATTGAGCCATGATAGCTTGCGCATAGTGCGGATTGTGCGCTCCGCCTGCTCGAGACAGGGAGAGAATGTGCACAGATAAGCGGGCGACTCGGGGTCGAGAGCGGATTCCTGTCCAGGAGGTGGGTTGCGCACGAGATGTTTCAGTGCGAGCCAGGGAGCAGGAAGATCAAGGAAGATGGCGTTGGCCTTGGGTGATTTGCCAGTTTTGGGGTCGCCCAGCAAAAATCCGTCCTCGTAGACATCGCGATGCGTAGCCTCCACTATCCCATCAAGACCGTGGTCTTTGAGTTCCTGCTGCACTTTCGCCGCGCGGAGTGCGTGGAATTCGAAACTGCATACCTTTCCTAGTCGTCGCCGTTTGGTCGCATCTTCTGTACCGGGGTACCCGTTGAAAACGGCGCGAGCGGAGGCGTGCGTGAACGAGCCGCTGCCGGCTCCGGCTTCGATGACTGTACACCCCGGTCGTGCGCGGAGTCGGTGGAGGATGTAGCTGTAGTCTGGGGTGTAGACGACTTGCGTGCGGTGCGGAAGAGATATGGTCCACGCTTCGGGGGTCGGGGCGAGGATGTGTAGGAACCCACTCTCCGCAGAGACGGGAGTTCTTAATGATGGCTTCTTCTTTTCCTCCTCTGCGCCAGTTGTTGTTGCCTCCGCATCGAGCTCTTCGGCCTTGCGCTTGGCGGATTTGTTGCGACCGCGCGAGCCTGTGTCGACTTTTGAAGCGACGACCTGAGCGCCCCAAGGTTTCCCAATCAGAGTGCTGTGTGGGAATGAGCCGAAGCGGGTGTTGGTGACCTTTCCTTCCCAGTAGCCTTGGTTCTCATCGTCATGGTCGCGGAGGATCGTCGGTACGATCTGATCGCGACGCAGTTGTAAGAGGGCGAGGTTATCTGTGTCGGCTACGGCGTTCCGGGTTAAGAATGGGGACGTCATGGTGAGTTAGGATAATTGGTATGGATAATCCCTAACTTGAGGCTTGAACTCATTGCCTCTCCGCAAAAGAAAAAAAGGTTGTCATGCTCATTGCCTGATCGGGACATGAATTAGGGCTCAGGGCTCGGTCCTCCCGTCCTCAGTTACCGCCAATCACAGCGAGTCCGCAGTTGATGGATGAGTCGATCTGGTCTTGACAAGAGCCCCTCCCCCTCCATTGCCTTTGTTTCTTTCTTTATGCTCTCCCCCGACCCTCCCTTCTTCCCTTTCCTTTCTTTTCACCGTCCAAACAGCGGATTTTATTGTCGGTTACTTCTTTCAGGTCCATGTCTTCTCGCCAACAGCCGCCATGGCGGCAACCGGCCTCTAGCCCGGACGCGCAACTCCCTCCGTTGAAGGTGTGGAACTCGTTGACCAAGTCCAAGACCCCCTTCGTCCCGATCGACCCTGCGGGCAAGAAAGTTGTGTGGTACGCGTGCGGACCGACTGTTTACGATGATGCGCATCTTGGACATGCCCGAAACTATGTTAGCACCGATATTATTCGGCGAATTATGCGCGACTACTTTAAGTTCGATGTCAACTTCGTGATGAACATTACAGACGTGGACGACAAGGTATGACTCACAGTTGTGTATCTGGATATAGTCCCAAGTGCGGTGACTCACCAATCCTATAGATCATCCTCCGCGCCAGACAACAACACCTGTTTAACGAATTCGTCGCCGCCAACCCCACGATTACCTCAGAGGTCCTAGATACCGTCAAAAGCGCTTTCGTCGCCTACTTAAAGAAGAACCTCCCCTTGCTCGACTCCGAACTCCCTCCGTCGCAGTACCAAACCGAGGTTGAAAAAACCTACGCGACTATTTTGAACGGTGGAGCCTTGCCAGGAAATGAGAAGGCTGGCGATGATGAGGCCAAGGTTAAGATGCACATCAAGACGGCTGCATCGGCCGCAAAGGTCTTCGCGCAGGCTGAAACCCGCGATGGCTCGAGTGCCGACCCTGCTCTCTTTGCTGAGTCATTCTATTCGAATGCCCAGGATCTCATTTTGCCTTACCTCGATGCCCTGAAGGGCGCATTGGTTGATGCGGATGATCACAGCATCTTCACCAAATTGACTAAAAGATATGAGGACCGGTTCATCAAGGATATGCGCGACCTGAACGTTCTTGATCCCACCGAGTTGACTCGCGTGACGGAATACGGCGATGAGATTGCAGCCTTTGTGGATCGCATTGTTAAGAACAACTTCGGATATGCTACAAAGGATGGGTCAGTGTACTTTGATATTAACGCCTTCGAAGCTGCGGGCCACCCGTACGCTCGACTTGAGCCATGGAGTCGGTCAGACAACAAATTGGCCGCAGAGGGCGAAGGCTCTTTGGCCAGCAAGACGACAGAGAAGCGCGGTGCTTCCGATTTCGCTCTGTGGAAGTCGTCCAAGCCAGGCGAGCCAAGCTGGTCCAGCACCTGGGGCAAGGGCCGCCCTGGTTGGCACATCGAATGCTCAGCTATGGCATCTGCCCGGCTGGGCAACCAGATGGATATCCACTCTGGTGGCATTGATCTTGCCTTCCCTCATCATGACAATGAGCTGGCACAGAGTGAGGCATACTGGCACGGTGACCACGGGCATGGCCAATGGGTTAACTACTTCCTTCACATGGGCCATCTTTCCATCCAAGGATCCAAGATGTCTAAGTCGTTGAAGAACTTCACTACCATCCGAGAAGCGCTTGATCGCAAAGACTGGTCGCCGAGAAGTCTGCGCATCGTTTTCCTCCTGGGTGGCTGGAAGGACGGTGTGGAGATCACAGAGGATCTGGTAAATACTGGCAGCTCATGGGAGGAGAAGGTGAACAACTTTTTCCTCAAGGTGAAGGATCCTGCGGCTCTCCAGTCGTCAGGCACCGACACCACCTTTGCTGCTGATCTGGAAGCGGCCAAAAAGGCAGTCAACGACCAGCTCTGCGATTCTTTCAACACCCCCGCTGTCATGTCGTCGATCTCGGATCTTATCTCCAAGTTCAACATTGCCGACAAGGCCACTGTGCCCTCCGAGGATGTTCAGGCTGCAGGCCAATGGGTCACCTCTATGGTGAACATTTTCGGTCTTAACGGCACTGCCTCCGCTGACAGCACTGAAATCGGCTGGTCTGGTATTGATATCCCCGAAGAGGCCAAGCCCTACTTGTACCCTCTGTCCGCTATGCGTGATGCGCTCCGTGAAGCCGCGCGGTCCAAGGCTGGAATCTCCGCCAAGGACATCGAGGCGGTAGTTGCCAAAGCATCGGCACCCGAAGAGGCCTCCGAATCTGCCAAGCCATTTGCTGAGCTTTTCTCCAACTTCCGTAACAAGGTGGTGTCTCTGGAGTCATCTGAGTCTATTGGCAAGGATATTCTTTCCCTGTGCGACCGGGTGCGAGACATCGACCTCTTCGATGTTGGTATTGCCCTCGAAGATCGGGAAAACCAACCTGCCATGGTCCGGCCAGTCACCCAAGAAATGATCAAGGCGCGGGAAGAGAAGGAAACACGAGCTCGCCAAAAGCAGGCTGAAAAGCTGAAGAATCAGCAGGAAGCCCTCAAGAAGGCGGAGAAGGGCAAGCTGAGCCACCTGGAGATGTTCCGCACCAATGAGTACAGCGCATGGGACGAGGAAGGCATGCCTACCCGCGACACTGCCGGCGAGGAGATCACCAAGAGCCGCGCCAAGAAGCTCCGCAAAGACTGGGAGCGTCAGAAGAAGGCACATGAGGCATGGTTGGCTACTCAGGCTAAATAGAAGCCAAAAAACAAAAGAGAGCATTTTGATTTTTAAATATCTAGTTTGATGGATATCGGTGGGTTTCCACTTTGCATCGCGAGGCGTTTCTCTAGGCATATATCCTTACCTTCTTATGCTATATAATGCGAATATTGCCTGATTTGGATACTTCAAGCACCATTACCTATCTCGATTTACTGAATAGTTCTAGTGACTGTTATGACACGGCGTAATCCTGACCCAGTTCTATCTCATACTTCCGTCATACTTTCTAGCGCATTATCCCCATGTTGCACCACAATCCACATGCAATGCTAGATGCAGAGTGCATATAATTCAGAAATACGGCCCACTATCAAGTCACTCGGGCCGACAAATCCGTGCCACCTGCGGAGTATAGTACCCCGGAAACCCCCAATTAACGGGCTTATGGGGTTGGAGAAAGTGGGATGTCCGTTCCCCTCCTTATCATTTCCCCCTTCTCTCCATCAGATCCCATCTTTGCTCGTTTACTGGATCATCTCTCTCATATCTACCACCTATTTTTCCACGCAAGATGGCAGTGCAGACAGGTCTCGACTATATGCGTTTGCGCACGCATATCGACTGTGATACGATGGACGACGAAGGTAAGCCAACTGGCCCTTCTACATCATAGAGACTTCTATCATTTTCAGATATCTGACCACTATTTAGTCGCCAAAACCCTAGGGCCATTCCATGACTGCACGTCCAACCAAGTAATCGCACGAATGCGCTATCTAATTGGGCCATGAAACTAACCGCACAGGCTATTGCACTCAGCGAGCTTTCTAAATCAGCACGGGCTGAAGTTATTGCGGCGTCGCAGGCAGATGCGAAGACACTGCATTCGAGCTATTCGTCCGTCGGAGTTGAAGCATTGGCAGTCGAGATTGCAGTAAGTTTTGCTTCGATTATTGAATAAGGTCAACTAATATTGTTCAATAGATGGTTAGATTGGCCATAGGAATGGCGGAATACATTTGCGGACGTGTCCATGTACAGGTTAATCCTTATTATTCATACTCCTCGGAGAAAATTGTCGCCAATGCACTCCGTATGTTTAATCCTTTTCATTGGTATTGTTCTCTTAATTGAACCCGATGCTGATCATATCGTTCATAGGCATCGTGCAATTATTCCGGCATGTCCAGCCAGACTTCGATGTTACTCGAGTTTGTATCAAGATCCCGAGTACGTGGGAAGGAATGATGGCCTGTCGCACCCTCCAACTAGCTGGTGTGCATACTTTAGCAACCACTCTGTTCAGCATGACTCAAGCTGTACTCGCGGCTGAGGTCGGCTGTACTTATATTGCGCCCTATGTGAACGAATTGAAGGTGCATGTGCAAGCAGGGTAAGTACCAAACTCTTCTTTCAAGTCTTGTCTAACACTTTTCCCATTTTAGTTTCGTGGACAATGCGAAATTACTCCCGCTTTGCGCAGCCATTCAGAAATACTACAAGTCCATCAATTCGTCCACCAAAGTCCTGCCTGCTAGCCTAACTTCTGTCGATGAGATCTTCTTGCTTGCTGGGGTGGACCACATCACTATTTCGCCTGGTCTGTTGACACAGTTGACTCAGCCCTATGTAGGAAATGTCAAGTCGCTATTTGATATTGAGGCGACACTTCCAATCCCGGAACGGGATGTCTCTTTCATCAACGATCCTGGAAACTACCAGATCACATTTACACGAGACCTGGGCGGTGCTAGTCAGATCAAGCTGACCGAGGTAAGTGCATATATTGATTAGATTGGATTTTAAGCTCCGCTGACAGAGACCAAGGCTATAAATATCTTCTGTGATGCCCAGGATCAGTTGGAGTTGCTTATGAAGGGAAATTAATAGCTCTCTGGATTTTGGCATCCCAGTATTAAGATACTAATATCTTATTTGAACTGTAGCTTAATAAATTGCTTTAAACCGAAAGAAATGGAAAAAATGAATGAAATGCTCATCTGAAATGCCTTATACTTCGCACGTGACCACACGACGTCATCCATGGTTCCGTCTTTCATCTGTGGATTTCTCTTCTCTTCGCGCTCCAATTGCCTTATTATCAACTTGCACAGAGCTGGATCTTCCAGCTACTATATCTGTTTATATTGGCATCCTATTTTTACATTGTTTTGCTTCCCAAACCTTCAGTGGGAATACTTGACTGTGAATCGCACAGTTCGCCTGCAGGATGTTTCCTTCGCAGGCGATTAATTTTAACATCGAGGCCCTTAGCGGGATCTGCGGGTAAGTTCGACAAGCATAACCTCTCTTTTTTCATTTTTGGTGTTTTTTTTGTTAGCTGCCAAGTTTATTTGATGCATGCATGTGCGACAGCGGATCTAGATCTACTTGACCCGACGATCTCTGCATGTGTTGTTTTTCTTAATTCAATACTAACCAGTTCAGATCGATTTCTATTGCCTGCTGGGTTGTAGTTTTCTCCCCTCAGATTATCGAGAACTTCCGACGTGGCTCTGCAGATGGCCTCTCTCTCATCTTCCTCATCATCTGGCTGGCTGGCGATGTGTTCAACATCTTAGGTGCCGTCCTACAAGGCGTGCTTCCTACAATGATCATCCTTGCAGTGTATTACACTCTAGCCGATATTGTTCTGCTAGGACAGTGCTTTTACTACCGGGGCTTCAACCTCAAAGAGGAACTATCTCCCTCAGACACGCCGGACCTTTTCGCAGTCGAGGATGCGGAGCGAAACGGCGCTGAAAATCAACCAGCACCAACAGAGAGATCAGCTCTCATCCCGAAGCCCAACGGCCAGGTCCAAATTGAAGACCCAACTATCAACGTAACTGGGCAGCAACCCGAAGACCGCACACGTCCACTCTCCGATGGAAGACGGCACTCGGCAACCTCTTATCAAGATATCTTCCACTCATCGGTAGATGCCACCCATCTCTCACCCGCAACGCCCTTCGTCGAACCGACAACCGATTCCGCGCGGCGTCGTGCTCAACGCGCCCGCCGTCGCCGCATCTCCGCCCTCCAATCCGGCCTTTTCAACCTCACCGCCGTCGCTCTAGTCTGTGCTGCAGGTGTGATGGGCTGGTTCGTCAGCCCGGCAGCAAAGTCATCGGCTCCAGACCCGGAACCTCTTGCTATGGATGTTTTGGGTCAAGTATTTGGCTATTTCTGTGCAGTTTTGTATCTTGGATCACGTCTGCCCCAGCTTCTCTTGAACTACCGCCGTAAATCAACGGATGGTGTTTCCCTGTTGTTTTTCCTCTTTGCTTGCATCGGAAACTTGACTTACGTGTTATCTATTCTGGCGTATTCACCTATTTGCCATGGTGGGTCTTCCGAAGAGGTTATGGGGCACCGTCACCGTGCGCATTGCCGTCCTGGTGAGGCGGCTGCGCTGTATGGTCGGTATGTATTGGTGAACTTGTCGTGGTTGGTCGGTAGTGCTGGCACATTGTTGCTGGATATGGCGATCTTTACACAATTCTTCCTGTACCGTGATGGCAAGGGTGATGAGGAGGAAGAGGAAGAGTAGATGCTTAAAATTTAGATGTGATTTATTGCACATATATCAATATTTGAAATACAATATTATTGTCTCCTGCCTTTTCTAGCCTAGCTTTATGATATTACGGATGATATTACGGATAAGCCACCAGAATTACATGGAGAAAAGAGAAAAAAGTCCGGTTCTTTGTTCTTTTGCCTAAATATGGCACACTACTCCCGATGCATTGTTGATGACCTGGCTGTCAATGATGAGGTTCTGATCAAAAATCTAGTTGATTATTGTACATGGAACATTGAAGAATCCTTATAAAATATGCCTTTTCCTGCTGTCCACCTGTGAACCTTGAGAGGAGATATCTAACAACCTTGACTACCGGGAAGAAAGAAAGAATACGTCACAAATCCGCATAAGCTGCCGACTATTCGTGTCCATCCCAATACAGGACATACATTTCCCTCAAAAATTAGAACGGAAACCGGATGAAAGAGCTGAAAACAGTCAGATCGACTTAAGATGCTACGCTAGACACGCCGCCGCTTGTACATGGAGATCTGACAGCGACTGGATCTTAGCAATGCTAGCAAGGCAAGCCCCGATGACCCTAGCAGCGGCCGATAACACCGCACTGCTAGAGCTACTAAAATAGTACTATCGGTTGATAGGCCTCGACCAAACCATGTTAAAGTCCTTCAAGGATCCTCTGATGCCCGAGGAGCCGAGAAAATGCGAACCAACCGAGGGACACCCTTTCAGCCTCGGGTGTGAGATGGAAACTGGCGGTCAAACCTGATCTGCAGGATAAGCACGCTAGACTGGAAGATATGTTTGCCATAAAATAGGGCTTGCAGATACGCGGTTGGGCCGTTATGGCCATGAACTATGGATCATATGATGAAGGGTCAACCCCTCTCTAGGACTGAAACATCTCAAACAACTATAGAGAGCCTCAGCCTCAGCCTCTAGCATTGATTTATGCTTGAGGAGGTGGGGGGTTATTGGGTCAACAAGGTCGGCAGAGATGTAACTTTACCCCTGAGCCAACCATCCCCATCATGAGGCAGATGTTTCAATATTAAAAGACTAGCATAAGCATGCGAGTGCAGAATTATGGCCTGCAGGACAGGGATTAAAAAAAATAGAAGTTATTGTGAGGTGCGAGAGGGGCCGGCGCCAATATAAGTTTCATGGAGAACGAATAGAACTCCAACTAAGATCGATTTATAAGCGCCCACAGCCTATCATTTAAGCTTCGAGTATACATACTTGCAGCCTTCCATTCATGTCCCATTTTAGTGCTCTCGATGATCCAATATCCCGAATAACCCGGTCTATAAAATCTGTGGAAGCTTCCCAGCCAACAATATATCTATACGGAAGATTACCGCAGAGTTGGGTTTCATTCTTTGCAGCACTGATTCCAGCCCAACTTTATAGATGACTTTCAAAGCGAAAGGAGAAATATATATATATATATATATATATAACTGTAATTCAATCTCAATGAAAAGAAACAGAACCATTCAGGTATCAAGTCAAGCTCTAAAGCAAACGTTAGCAAAAAGAAAAGAAAACCACCATCCACAAACACCTTATCAACCAAGCCAACTCATCTTACTCTTTTACACAAGCCAACCAACCTCCATGCCGACTACTATGAAGAACCCACAGATCGTGCACGCAGACACGATCAGAATGGGCAAATGGACCGATTTCGACCATGTCGAAGCAGACAAACTCGGCACATGCTCTGTCACGGCAATTGTCAACGAGGAGGGGTTCTTGCTCTCTAATACATCCTCCGATGGGTATAGGGAGATCCCTGCTGCGGAACAAGTGTGTGCGCTATACAATGGGAACAAAACGCTCTTCGGGAACAAACCCGTGGATGTGTGGATTGTGTACGAGCAGGAAAATTCAGTCAAAGGACGAGGTATTCGGAGTGTTATGCGGAAGATCGGACCTGAGAGTGTTTTCGAGCAGGTGTATAACGGGGAATCTTTCATGAATCCGCCGAGTGAGGAGGGTGCGAGGTTTTGTTTGATGTTGGGGAGTGCGGGTGTTGTGGCTACTATGTCCCGGCAGGACAGAGGAGGATATCCTATTCTGCTTTCTGGGGATGGAACGACTGTGGTGTGTCGATAGGAAGTGACAGCAGGGCTGGATCTGAATTTCTGATGGTGTTTGGAAGAGGGTTTTATATCTAAGTAATTGGAGTCTTACGAATTGAACTACTTGCTTTTCAGAACTAAGATTAATCAGACCATTTGTGAAAAAAAATCCAATTGAAACATATTGCACAACTAAAAGTAGTTGTGACACCTTCGAAACACCTCGCTACATGCGGCATAGTAATGAAAAGAAACAAAAAAAGCAAGCGGAAAATCATCCATGGTGAGGTTCAACCTTTCCCTTCGCCACCTCAGACCAGTTCGTGCTCAGTGATGTGCCCTGACTTTCGGTGTAACTTTTGATCATAGCTCGGCGCGTCTCTGGGTCAGCACCGGCATACAACTTCTTGAAGAATCCGTCGACAGCATCACCACCTTCGTCATCCGATGCATCGGCTGCGTCTCCATCGCCCCCTGACTTCTCGTTTGGTTTCTTCTCAGTGAGCGAAGATGCGACCTTGTCCCAATCCTTGGTACCGTGTCGTGACGAGGTGGGGTATGAAGGGCCCGCGGTAGCTGGCGCGTTCTGTGCGACTGGGCGGCTGGTGATCTCAGTGGGGTTGGTGGCGGAGCCTTCGAGGGCATTCCATTTTTGGCTGGCTGTCTTCTTTCGCAGAGTGATTTCGATCTTGGTGCTTTTGACGGAGACCTTGGACTCGGCGGGATTGATGGCTGCATAGAGCGGGTCGAGGGTAAAGTCGTACTCAGAACCAGATGGGAGGGGGATTTGCAGAGAGACCTTTTACAGAGTTAGTTTCAAGTCCAATAATAACCAAGCAGAAGAATACTCACAAGGGATTCTTTCAAATCGACAGCGACACTGTCATTTGGGATCCCCTTGACGTAAAGAGTCACAACCACAGAGTCCTGTGACTGGTACCACTCATGGCGAACCTTCTCCGGGACAGTAGCCGCAGCCGCAGCCTCAGCCGCAGCACGGTCGCTGGAGTGTCGAGCGTAAGAAGCCAACATAGCCTCCCCAGGGGATAGTGTCCATTTCTTTGCATTTTCATAGTCGATGGACTGAGGCTCAACCTGCTGCGAGGCTTCGGCGATTCCCACGTTGCCAGCCTTGAGGGCCAACCACTGATCGTTGAGCTCACCTCTGGTCGGAACATAAATGGAAGACGGGTACTCATGAACGGATACAATGCGCTTCGGATCGTCCTCGGGTGTTTCTGCGTCCTTCTGTTGGAGTTTGGCCATCCAAATCGGCAGTTGCGCGCTGTAATTGTTTCTGTGGCCTCCCCATCCGGATCCGGGTCCTCCCATGGCAGCCTGTACCTGCTCCGTTTTATTGGCCGGGACCGTCTCGCTCCTGGTTTTATCCGCGATGATCCCAAGAACAAATCCTGCATCTCCATATCGTTCAAGCTGGTACAGCGACACGGCACGGCGCATCTGGGCGGAAAGAATCAGTTCGCGGTTTCCACGCTCTTTGGCAAGATGGAGCGCAATTTCGGCATCGTTGAATGCAGCCTGGTAGTCAGGACCACCATCTTCGGGCTTGAGGCGCGAGTAGGCAGTCGATCGCGAGATGTAGTATGCCGGAGCGCGGGGTAACTCGCTCAAGGCGTGGGTATAGTGTTCGATAGCGAAGCGGTAGTTGGATTTGGCCAAGGCCTTATCACCCTTAGCTGCAGCATCCATGATAATGGGATCAGGGACTATGGGAGTTGGGTTAATTAAGGAACACAAAGTGCAACCCAGTATGGAGGGATGAAAGAGCCGGGGCGGTCCAAGCTCCTGTCGATCACTCATTTTGGACGAAATGGCACGTGATTTCGCGTGAGGGGAAGGTGAGGGGAAAAAAACAGGAGCGGGACAGAAAGAGACGAAAGAGACGAAAGAGAATTATATACACACCAGATCTGGAACGCGCGTGAAAACGACTACCTAGGGACGACTAAGTAATCGCGGGCTATATCAACTGAATACCTGATGAATGAATTATTATTGATTAAGTACATATGTTTGGAATGTTATTTTCCTCGAGATGATTTAGACGAGCTCCGCATTTCCGAACTTCTTACTATACAGGCCTAAGGCACGGATAGGCCAGTAGAACTTGTAATTGGGGTACGAGATCATGCTAGGGAGGGAGAGAGAGAAAGAGTCAGTAAGTCAAATTCAAAAGAGAATCAGGTTAGTTTCAACTTACCAAGACTGGTTGAAAACACCTTCAATCGCCTCCTGTAGCCACTCTCCGTTACGCTGCTGGCGAGACATCAACAGTCTAATGCCCCTCTCCAAAGGTTCTTTGTGCGGGTATCCCGCCTCCATAAGTCCAAGAAGAGACCAGGCAGTCTGACACACCTGAGACTTCTCGTGCTGAACATACTGATGGGTCGAGCTACTCAGATATGACTCACCCCAGCCACCATCGGCCTGTTGCTTCTCGATCAGGAAGTCACAGCCCCGACGAGAGTCCTCGCTCGTTTCGTATGTCTCGCCGACGCTAGCCAGACTTTCGAGCGCGAATAACGCTGCGTAGGTAAAGCAGATACCCCAAGAACCATACCAGCTACCGTCGGCGCGCTGTACGCGCTTGATATGGCCAACCGCCTTCTGCTTCGCGGCACGGATTTCGTCAGCGCGATATTTGGGGTAGAATTTGCTGAAGAGTGACAGTGCCGTAACGGATGCCGTTGTGCATTCGGGGTGGTCGTAGCTGATCATGATTCCGCCGAAAACCTCCGCGGCATTGAGCCACTCGACCTTGGGTGAGGCACGGGTAATTTCGTACTCGGAGAAGCCACCGCTTGGGTTTTGCATGAGCAAAAGACAGTCCACAGCGTCTTTCAACCGTTGTTCGGAAATTAGTTTAGGGAAGCCGTGCATCTCCTGCAGCTGAAGTGTTGACCGGAGACCCTCGGCGGTGCAATCGCTGACTGTGTAGCCCTGGTCCTTGGTGCTGAATGGCCAAGCGCCCTTACGGTGTTGGCGGTAGCATTTTTCTTGGTCTGGCACATTCTCTCGTAATTGATGGTCGTCGAGAAATTCGAGAGCTTTTGTCAACATCGGCCGCCATTTGGGTTCGTCGGCGAAACCAGCGACGACGATCGCCTGCGTGATAAACGCCGTGTCCCAAACTTGCACGCCGTTGGTACCATTTGCGAGCATGCCCTCGCCCTTCACCCACATGTAGTCATTCAACCGCTCCCTGTGTTGGCGAACAGAGTAGCTGTCCGGGCCGTCGTGGACAAAGCAAGCCACCATATTCATTGGATTGTTGACAGGTCCCAGCCCCGCATATTTGGTGTTTTCGTCTTCCATGCGAATCAATTCCCAAGTCCATTCCTCAGCTCGCTTGACAATGCTGGGGAGTCGAAGGTAAGGGTTCCAGACCCGAACCAGCAGTTCATTGGCTGCATTCAACAGCCATGTCTTGGGGTAATAATTGTCTACCTCGTGAATCGAATTGCGATGCGCAGCAAAATCAACAGAGCTGTATGGCTGGGTGTATAGCTCTTCGCGCAGCTGCCTTGTCAAGTCATCTAGAGGGTGAGACCATTGCTTAGACCACAGCCAAGACATTGGGAGAAACACCTGGCGCATATGAATCCACCACCGCCAAGGAGCAAAGGGAACCCAGTCGGGAAGAAGCCTATGCAGTCAGTCAATAAAAAAAGATCATGTACTTGTTGCAATGCGTGAACCAACCAAATCTCAGGGGGAACTGGGTTGACACCCTCCCACTCCATTACTCCCAAAATGCTGAGCCAGAACTTAGCCCAGTGAGGACCATAGGTGGCACCTCCGAACTTATGCAGAAGACCCCGAGCTTTGATCATGCGCGGGTCCTCTTCGCTGACACCAATCAAGCGCAGTGCGACATAGTTCATACAAGTACCGAAGACGGAACTGTGGCCTTCAATGTGGAGGCCCCATCCACCGTCCTCTGGGTGCTGACGGGCAAACAGATAACGCTTGATCTCCGTTGCATACTCAGGGGGGATAGGGGTATTGGTCACATAGTAAGTAATCAAAATACCCGGCAGCAAGAACATGGGGCCACCATACTCGCAGGCCCAGTTTCCGGGCTCCAATTGCAGATGCGAGAAAAATGAAAGGCCATTCTCGGCGGCTTTCAATGGTGTCTTGGCTTCTGGCAGCTCTGGAAGACCCTATAATGCGCTGTTAGGATTGGATTTGGATTTTGCCAATTGAGGAGGGTTAAATACCGTTGGCATTCCCAAATGATATTTATCAGCTACTGATTGCGGCCACTCTTGGTTATCCACATCAGATTCGAGATACCGCCATGTTTGACGGCCTTCTTCATCGACCAATCGCCAGCGCGAGTAATCAGTTTTGAGATCTCCATTGGCATCTGGGGTGAGATGACCCTGGGCTGGAGTTCTCCATGGCCCAATATGAGGAGTAGAAGACATGATATGAGGAATTGGGTCTTTCTCGCCAATCTAGTAAAGACAGTAAACAGCTTGGAGAGTCCAGACGATGGAAACCGGGGAAGCTTAGTCATCAGTATCACGACTGCGGTGTAGAATGAAGAATGTTGTACCTCTGTGATGCCAGGCAGACAGATTGATCGAAATGAAAAGAATCAGGAGAAGGAAGAGGATATCAAGGATATTCGGATTGAGAGACAGGGGGTATAAGAGGCGTGGTGATGTGGCGGTGCGGTGGTGTGGTTTGGCGTTGCTCTATACACTTTAAGAGCCCCAAACCTCAAAGAACAGGGAGAATAGTTAATTAGACTAAAATGAAATCTCGATAGTATTGAATTCCAGACAATAATTTCTAAATAGAACAATAAAAGGGAGAAGAAGGGAAGCTTCGACATATAGTATGACATATAGTAACCAATTTCTGACCTCTACAGATCGTCCAGTCATATCAAGTTAAGTGCTCATTTTTACTAGTATTTGCTCTAAATTGTTTATTTATACTAGTCATTATCTTTCATATACAATATTCATACATGGATGCTATCGGAGAGTGTCATGTAAGCTCTTTGTGCCCATTGTGGTCCACGGGTAGATGTTCTTATCCTTCAACCCCCATCTCTCTTTGCCCAAACCCACTCCAATGGCAATGGCTGAGCCATCGACCATCAACGCTTTGGAAATAGACGATGGCCGAGATCCTTCAGTCCAAGAATTCATCGACAACACCCTCGCAGCACTCATCCGCGGACTCTCACAGACCCCGACAGAGGCAAACATCTCCATCACCCTCAAGCGGAGAGCCAGCCCAATGGCTTGCATCATCAACCCCATCACCGGAGCTTTGGAAGCGAGTCCGAGAGTTGAGACGTACAGGAAATACTCTTGGCCAGGAAAGACGGCACACGAGGCATGGAAATTTAGTAAGATCTTTCCTTCTACCCCAATCTAAACACCACCTGAATGACAAACTCACCAAGTCTGCGTGACCTGGTAGCCGTCATCCTTCGAATCCTAGCTATATTAGACCAAGCTATTCGAACGGGCCAGCTCATCTCTAAAAGGTGAGCTCGCAATGCCCAGGAACCAGTCTGGAGGGTATACTGAACAAATCCATTCAATCCCAGAGACATATACTATATCGATCCGGAATTCTTCCGGGTGCAGTATGTTGTGGACCACGTTGTCGATGACCTGGCGTACACCATCGGGGTGAACAGAACGGCATTGAATGTGGTTTGTCCTACCAAATCTTCTGGTGGCATAGCACTACAGGGCCGTGCTGCTAATGCTAACATCGTGCACGACTTTCTAGGAAGCTGCAGCAAAGGGATTGGTGACGGGAGACTTTCGGTTGATCCGTGGCTCCCATATTTTGATTGATGCGCAGTCTGTCACCGTGGACAGTTTGATTCCTCGAATCGAGGATGGAGACGAGATTGACATTTCACGGGTCCGCTGGGTACTGGTCATTGAGAAAGAGGTATGTAACACGGACATACCACACCTGCAGCATCAGTACGCTAAGTCTCTATCCACAGGCAGTCTTCCACCGGCTCGCGCGAATAAGTTACCACACCAGGGCACTAGCCGGGGAAGGGATTATGGTCACGGTAAGCTGCGTCTCTGTTTTAGCATATTCCATCGCCAGGGCGAGTGACTGAACTCAACGCTACTAAAACAGGGCAAAGGATACCCCGATTTCATGACACGAACATTCTTGCGCGCAATGTCCGACTCCGCATCCAACCAGAGCAGACATCCACCTCGGTTTTATACCCTCACCGATGGTGATCCCCATGGCATGGCCATCATGTCGACGTACAAGTACGGCTCAGCAACCCAATTACACCAAAATGCTCGGCTCAGTATCCCGAGGCTGCAATGGCTGGGTCTTCGAGTGACAGATATCATAGCAGTTCCGGAGGTACTTGGTGACACGGCTCTTCTCTCGCTGACGATGCGGGATCGCAAGAAGATCGTAGCTATGCTTCGGAACAGTCCTGTCTGGGCGAGTGACGGACCGGAGCCTGAGTGGCGTGCTGAATTGCAGCGGATGTTGGTTTTGAATCTAAAGGCTGAGATTGAGATCCTATATGGGTGCCAAGGGGGTTTGGAAGGGTGGATTAATCGGAGGATGTTTCGGCAGGAGTAAGATACTGTAGGACCTGTATATCTAGGAAAGTATAGATATATAGACTATAGACCACATGAAATAAAGACAAGAACTATATACCATAG